AATACATATGCGACGGGCATCCGGCTGCTTTCAAGGCTGCCGAGTCTCGATAATATGGTGACTCATCGGTTCAAGGGCCTAGCCGCCGCCAAGGATGCCTTCGAGCTTGCTGGTAAGACCGTGGACGACGACGGAAATCTCGTACTTAAAGTTGTTATCGAGGCTTAGAAAGACTCAGAAGAAGTAGGTACCAGAAGACATGTCTCTTGTTGAAGTTTTCTGGGTAGTTCCCTTTTTTTCTAATTTTTGGGGGGGGGTTTCTCTTCTGTTTGTTATTGGATTTGCTGAGTTGCGTGTCTGGGTTCAATAGGTCTAAAGCCAGCCCCTCTGAGGTGCAAATATTTGCGTGATGTGCACTCGTACCGAACCTTCTTTTTTTTCTTCCTTGATCCTAGACCTCGCCGGCAACCATTTAAATTGGATGTAGGGGCGAAGGGGTGAAGTGGTTATACTTTTATTGTCGCATGAAGTGTAATTATCATACTCAACGACTACCCTTAATATTGAGCCGTAGTATATCTCCCTAATCTATTTTCATCAACGTCGCAGTATCAGAATTTCAGAATTTTGAGAGTTCTAATAGCTGCATTCCTGTCTACCTCCTATCATGGGTCATCGTCTAACATGACCGACGGTAGCGCATAAGCAATAACCCAGAGCTAAGCCTAGCCTCTAAGTGAATTCAGTAACGGTTCCGAGTCGCTCCTAGCTGCCGAACCAAACGCCTCCTTCGCCATGCAAATGCAATGCTACATTCATGTCTTGGTCTTTTTCACCTTGTTTCCCTTTTCGGTTATCCTGGACAGTTTTGGTGGTACTAAAATCACTCAAATCTCGGCAAACCGGGAACCCAGCAGCTTAGGATCGTCTGAATGCTTCTTGTTTTGATTTCTGCTCGTCTCCACGATACTGTATTTTTTACCAATGCCTCTAATCTCGGTAGTACTCTGCAACACGTCGTTGAGCAGTTCCATGAGATGCACATCGTTCGTCTCACTGAGCATCTCCTGTTCATAGGCCTCGGTCGCCGAGGGAACCACCAGCGAAAGTCTGTTTACAAGCGCTTGGACTGATCGAAGTATAGTGTACGAGGGTGTGGTGGGTTCACCGTCCCCGGTGACCATACTATTATCGTCGCCTGTGAGGTACGACGAGGGGAGTCGCTCGAGATAAGTTGCTAGGAGATTGATCCGGGACTGCAACATCTTAACAGAGTTTGCCTTAGCAGTGATGGCTGCAATCATTTCTTCGTCTTCTCGTGAAAGAATGCTATCCTCGCTGTCCGTAGTGTTCGACTTCGCTGCCGTCGGCTCGGTGAGCTCCATCTTCCGCTTGCCTTTCGGGTCGTCCGTATTTCCCGGCATCACTATCTTTTGCTCTCTGGGCTCAACTGCTGCGGCATTACCGGCACCTCGCGCAACAAAATCCATGCTAATCATCTCAGCCTCGCCCGTTTCTACAGAATATGGCAACTCGCGGAACCTGAGCTTGAGTGGAGGCTCGCCATCTCGCATCTCCTTGTCCTCTCCCTGCTCATGCTTCAATTCATCGGCTTCATAGTTGGATTCGTAGATGGTCAAGGGCAGTCTGCTGCCTGCGTCGTGCTTGACGGACTCTTCCGGGTGAAATCCCAGCAAGAGCGACGACTCATTGTGCTTGGAGAGGATCCAGTTGTGAATGGGGAGGATAGATGGGGTCGGGCCACTTCTAGGAAGCAAGGTATACCAGCCAACGAGGTCCAGCTGGGGAGCACTGTGAATGGTTTTCACTAGGACCTCACCGTCAGTATATGTAGATGCAGAACTGTCTAGACTAGACGTGGAAGCACACACTCTGGCCCAGTCGCTGCTCAAACCAGTCGTCATCGAGTACAACCTGGCCATCTTTGGGTTGAGTGGCGCACTCGAAGGCATGTTCTATCGTGACTTCGCGGCCATTTTGCTGCCCTATTAGTGCACCAACAATAGGGCCGGACTGTTCTCTGAGGGTATGACGCGTGATGTAATCGGAGATGGTGAGGAGGACGAGAGGATGTAGAACTGCTTGCAGTCCAGAGTCGGAGGACTTCTGGGTCGACAGAAGCGGATTTCCTGTGGCAGTCTCCATGTTTGCTGATAGCTGATACGCGATGCGGAGCTGGAGGAAGACACAGCCGAAAGAAAAGAGACTGCAAAGCTAAATCCAATCACTGTTTGTTCTTGGATTGTTGAGTTGATCTATTTGTGTTGTGAGACAGGCTTGCACTTGAGGGATGGTCTACTTTAGTACAGCGGAGGTTGGAGCTGTCATACTACAGTTGGGTTGGTGGGGCAATGCCCCGCGATACATAGCTCTGCTCAGTACCCCTGTAACAAGTCCCTTACATCCTAGGTACCTAATTAGTTCTATTCCATAGATACCTCTCTAAAAACTCACGTCGTTCCTCTGCGCAGCAAATACTAAGCAAAGCTTCCTTAATCTGATGTGATGGTTTGCTTTGCTCTGGCTTTGGGCTAAAACGGCCTGCATATATGTGAAAGACGCAACTGCACCGCATAGAAATGGATGTTAAGTCTCTTTTGAACCACTGGTATGAAAAGCATGGCCCTTCTGTCTCTGCTTCCTATAACTGAAAGTATGATCATACCCAACCCGCCGCGTTGGCTGTTGTTTGACTATTGTTCCTACACAATTTGTCAACATGATGCCGACGTACTTCAGCTGTCAGGGCCCAGGGGATCATGCTTCTCAGAACTCAATTAGCACTGCTGTGACTCCATCGAAAAGACTGGTTGAGGATGACGATGACATCCAGTTCATCTCAGAAAAACCCGTAAAGAGGCGCAGAGCCAGCGAGCAACAGCCTGCAATACCGGCGCCTCAGCAATCAGTGGCTCCCGCTACAACTACTACTACCACTACTTGTGATGTTGTCCCAAACCAGTCTCTGATAGCCACACATATGCCTGGCAGCGATACGAAGGATACAGAAAGACGACTAAGCACAGGAATGGTCGGTCTACCATCCGACATACAAGCAATGGAACTTGCGTACGCCCTAAGAGGAGTGTCGATGCCGGTTCTGGAGAGCTTCGTTCTTGACCAGCCCTTCCGCAAAGCTCGGCCATCGAGTCCCCCTGAACTCTCACCGAAACAGATGCCGTCAACGATTTCTCCGGACATGCCTGATATACCAAGTGGTCAATGTGTACCTGAAGCATTCGAGTCTGCGAAGTGCCCAAGCAACTCAATAAGCTGCCAAAACTCTAGACATACAGCAATCTTCCGAGTTGAGAAGCCAGCAATGCCATCGGAACCTGCAACCGCTGTATTTGATGCTCATCAAACGCACATGTTATCGGTACCCAACAGTCCAGACGGTAATCATATGCCAACTTCCTCCGAACGTGGTAACAACTCGAAGAGTACTTCAATGCCTCCTCCTCCGCTACCCTCTGCTCTGCCCTGTCCTGAAGTCTTCCATGATGTATCATTAGGGAGCGGCCTGAAATTGCTAGAAAACCATCATCACCACAACACTTCAGCTCAACCGCAGAGGCAGTCATGCTTAGTTTGTTCCCGTCTCAGACATCAGGCCCAACTTACACGAGCACAGGGCTTCCCCATGGTAAATGCAGCTCTCCCTCATCACTTCTTGCCACAATTGCACTACCGCACGTCCTATGGTCAACACATACACCCCCAAATATTGACCATGCCTACGGGTATTGTACACCAATATGGCTCAAATTTTGCGCCAGTGATGATGCCAGTCAACGGAAACCCTCTTGTGCCTCTATCATCCCATCCGCCGTCTCAGGCCCAACCAACTACCCAGCAACAGAAGAGAGCTGAGAAGGACGGACAGATCACCTCTGAACAGTCCAGAAAACCAGAATCACCTCAGATAAGCCAGCCTAAGAATGCTGCCGCTGACACCAGTGCGACCTCAAGTCCCATAAAACCACCCGCCTCTCTCATTCAACCCACATACCGCAAACCCTCCCCTAACCTAATAGTTGACGTAGCCGAGACATGTCAAGAGAGGTTCCCTTTCGAAGAAGTTGCCAAGAGACATAATGTGCCGGTAGATAAGGTGTTCGACGTCTTTGCTGCCATCATACAGGTGCCCCTCCTACGATGTCCAACGGATCGCCGAAGAGCTGGAAGACTGGCAACAGCACGCATCAAGGAGTACAATAAGGCGAAAAGGGATATCCTGGATTCCAGAATTGAGAAAGGCGAAGTCAATGGGTTAGATGGTGTGGTAGATTCGACGAACATAGCCCAGAAATTGGGACAGATAGAGTTTCCAGATGGATTCAACTTGGGGGAAGTGAACAGTTGTGGGCATGCGTAAGACAATTGGAGCATATATTTGATGCTCATATCGGAATTCTACTAGATTTAAACTCGGTGATATGGCTATCTAAGTTTATTACATTTGTAATCTAACCTGCCATTTGCCGAGGGCTAGTGTAAGATTATACTTATCTCGGTTCTTGATACTTTGCACATTGTGGATTTTCTCTGCTCTTCTGTTCTCCTAACGTAATCCCTGGCGCAATAAAGGTGGCTTTGGTAAGTTGAATATTTGGCTGCGGACTCTGATCTCAATCCTGCTCAAATATCAGTAAACTTGTTAATACAATGCAGTTCTGGTTCATAAAATGCCTGCAAGTGCTCGTTCCAGTCTTTTTTTTTTTATTTTTTTATTATAAATCCCTAACCCTTTCAACAATGCTATAGGTTTATTGGTGTTAGACAAAGAGGCCCTTGACATCAGCACAAAAGATAGCAATTCACCCTTGAGCTGTATAGTAGATAATGAATGAAAGGTTTTGTTATTGGCTTGTCAAATAAGCCGAGATTTATCTATTGTTTAGGTTTCATATCCTCAATGAGTATGAACTCAGTAGCTAGACAACCACTAACAAGTAGGTATCTCGTTGTTACCCACAAACTCCACCAGGCCCAAAGTTTTGGTATACCTAATCCTCATTACAACTAAATAGTACTCATCTCGATTGGTCTAGTGGTCAGGATACCTGCTTGTCATTGTCATTGAAACGATCTAGATCTCACGATAGTGGGACACATTATTCATGTAACAAGCCGCAGGTGGCCGGGGTTCGATTCCCCGATCGAGAGTTATGATTTTTGGTTTATCTGCTACTCAAATATTTGTACTTATGTTATTGAGAAACAGAGGTGAATAGATCTTTGACCCAATTTTCTCAAGGTGCATATTCATACAGAATTGCCATATATAATAAATAGGTAGTATCAACTGCCATCTGTGGTGTCTGGATTGAGAACACATATTGTGACAAGGGCTTTACTCAAGGGCTTGGAACAGGAATATGCTCTATTCAACTAATAATTCTCTTTGGATCTAAAGGGTCCTCAAGGTCTAAGTTTCCTTTTCGCGGGCACGCGCTTTTCGCATTTACTTATACCCAGGAATCTAGGGATGAACATGTTTACCACTTGACCTAATCCAGACTGCGGTATCGGGGTGGCTTGCCAGGTCTTGTCAGGTCCGTGGCAGCTGTAGCCGTGTGACACATATGGCATTTATTGTCAAAGTCTAGCCACCGGCTTACCGAGAAGCAGCTACATGCAAAGCTTACTTGCCTACGTACCTGACGCGTGCGGCCAGGATTTGGGGTTTGTTGTTACGATGTCACATTCATTGATCGATTACGACCAATGATCGCCCAAAATAGCCCTGCTAACGTGCAACTTTGTGGTGGTGTGTCAAATGAATCGAGGATGTAATCCTTCAAAATACTACTACAACCAGGTCAGGTCGATGCACACTGCGCCTGGCTTGACTAAATTCTCGTTTGCACTACATAGCCTCGTTGTTATTTATATATCGTACCCAGCAAGAGGAGGACGTTCCTAGAAAGCCTTGAGAAATCCTAATCTAAGAAATACAGGGGGCTAATTAGTTGAAATTGTATGATGCTTGAAAACAAATTTTTAAGAATTGCTCGAGGCCGTATTTACGATTATAGGATCAAAATTTAAACCAGAGAGCGTGACCTTCATTTTTAACAATTACTAAGAGGTCGAAATTATTATTTGCAGTTCTTACGATCAAGCGTGGGCGTAGTTCGTGATAGAACATTGATACAAACCTTTCGTGGCCCCTTATAATTTCTAGCCCTTGTTATTCTGTAATCCTTCAGTCAACCTTTCCAGAAGCCCTCCCCACTCGTATAGGTAAGATCTTGATTCTAGGAAGTTGCTTAGAAAGTGCAATTCAGAGGGGTAAGGAATCGCATATATCTAGATAAATGAGTCACTCATCTCGCCAGCTGTCCCAAACTCCTCGAACAAATCCCATACGTTTCCAACAACTTGCCTACGGAAATAGTTCGTTTTACGACCATCATATTGAGTAATTCATCATAGAGTGCCCCAAACTCGGGATCTTTCATTGCTGCGCTGTATTATCCATGTACCGAGGCTGCCAATATCTTACTCGAACTATATAACCATTACGATTCACATCATACCGCACCAATAGCCTTTGCAATGCCCGAAGCGTCGACGAACAATGTCTCTCATACCCCAGCCCACGCAGCTGCCTCCATGTCCATGACGCATCCAGCGCTTGTCTGGTCACAGGTTTAGGAGCAGAAACAACTGAAGAGATCCGCACCCGAAGATCCTATCACGACGCAGGCCCGATCCTCATCCGCTGCATCTGTTCTCTCTCATTCTACTGCCCACTCCTATCAGAAGGAGCAGTCCGTAGCTAAACCAAAATCGCTCTTCCAGCGGATCAAAGAATTCTTTCTCTAAGGCTATGCCTTGGGTGAAGTACAGCTGCGAAGCGTTACGAACAAAAGAAATATTACCACAATATCATTTCTAACAAGCTTCAATAGAAGGAGATTTTAGGAATGTAGGTTTGGGACATACGACCGGCTGATTGGGTGTAGATATCCTAGGTAAAAGCTCGGGTCACATGAAGTTTAGTAGAGAAGCATGAGGCTTAGAACGGTATAGTTCATGGGGATACTGTAGATGTTTCTTCGGGTCCATGTAAAGCGACATCAAATCGCCAAGTCCACAACGTATGAGTATTCAAATGTCTACCAATATTTAAAGGCTAAGAGAAGTTCCTACTATTAAGAGAAGAGTGAAATCTACCTCTAGAAGTCGTTCTTAGTTTAGCCATTTCAAATTGGTAGGATCAAGAGACCGCTGTAAACCAAGGAGTCTGAAAGAAATGAACACTTGTTGATGTTAAAGTCTCTTAATTACCATATAAGGAATTCCATGGCTTGTATAGTATTAACTCTTTGAAATCACGACTAAATGTCACGGAACGCTACGGAAGATCCTTCGGAGACTAGGGGTACAAGGGCACGGGCCGAAGGCCCGTGCGTATATACTAGCTAGAAAATCTCTGCTATGTAGATAGAACCTCTCCTTCTTTGCGCAATAACAATAAGTCATTACTGGAATCACCAGCGGTGTGAACCGTGACACTAAACCTGTTCGCAAGCCCCATGAAGATTTCCAATGGATGATAAACTACCATTATCAAGATATTTTAGAAAATCACTCTCCAGTCGCTTTGCTCAATATCTCTTCTATGATTTTCGTAGACTCATAAGTATCGACGATTACGAGGATACGCGAGATGCTCGTCCCATCCTCAGTGAAGTCAAGGTCATAGATGGTCTCAACGATGTTTTGGCCATCGTCTGTAAGGATGGTCTGCTCAGTGTGAATGCTAGCCCTTCGCTGAGTAGCATCGATGACCGTCCTCGTAACTTTCTGCGACACTTCACGCATAGTGTGTAGCTCGATCTTCATCTGCGCCTCATAGTCGGAATTATTGATCTCGGGTTTGAAGAATTGTGGGTATCTTCGGATGAGGGAGAGCGGCCGGTACATCCGAACGCAGTCTTCGCTCAAGGCGATCGAGAATAACGCTGTGTCCTTCTTTTTCACGGCGAGCATGTTGTTCTCTAGAAAGGTGTCAATTGTCCCTTGTAGGACTGAGCGAAAGTCGTCCATGGCACCCCGGGCTTGTCAATTTTGCTTCATTCATTAGCCGAAAGCAGCCATGAGGCATGGATAAAGTAGTAAACATACTCTAACCGCTATACGAGTGTTAGAGGAAAGCAATCAAGGAAACAAATTATTGAATATTAATAGTACCAAATTTTTATTTGATGAACTCATGTTGTGAGGCACCTTATATCTGGATTATCCAAGGCCCACGATCTGAGTCCCAAGATGAAAATTAAAAAAGTCCATGTTGCACTGTGAAAGTAGATTTCAGCGAGTATTGCCGCTGACAAAGAGCCATCACGCCGTATTACTGCGTCCTGGCTGCAGCCTGAACCAAACAGTCAACACTCTGAGGCAGTGGAACCCGGAGCTATCTAGGCTTAGAAAGCTCCGGTCCGACGCCAAGAAGCCGGGAGGTCCCGAATGGGTACCCCGCCGAATGAGGGGTAAGTTATATAATGCGTATAACAGCCAGCACTAAGTCACCTGATAGCTCCAGATTAAATATGGCGGTCTGTAGCCAAGGATCCTAAGAAGGGCATTATATTAACGGACTAATGGAATTTTCAAATCATCAAAGGGGTGATGTGGAAGGCATATTGCTATATGTATATACTCCAGGCAGCAGGTACCAAACTGACTGTGGATTGCGCGTCTTGAGAGTTGTGGCTGTGCTGCGCCACAGACCCTTGTGACGACATTTCCCGTCCATTGTCCAATACCTACCTACAGAATACAAGTGGCGGTCACAACTCACACACACACGCACACGCGGCGCCGGGATAGTGCTTCCCGGGATTATCGGTTCTGTCGCTGGTCTAGGCATCAAACTAAGGACAGCATAAAGTGGACCACCGTCTCTAAGTTAGGCTCATCAACGTTCATCAGTCAAGCTTCGAAGCATACACGCAACGCCATTCATTGAAGGTTGACTTCCACTGCATTGCTTAGCCATCATTCTCTATATCATACTGCCGCGTGGCCCGCATCCGTCTCCGTATTCGTTCCCCGTTCCCCGTCTCCCGTCTCCCGTCTCCCGTCTCCCCAGCTCGTTGGTGCACGACCGGATCCGATCAGTTGTCTCCCAGGCGGCAGTCCTCCGTCGACGCTCAACCTCCTGTTCGCAATAGTGCAACGCAACGCGAGCAGGTTGTGCACGGTCGTCAACCGATAAGAAAACTAAGTTAGGCGTGTCGAGATGCCTCCACCACCACCGCCGCCTCCACCGCCTCCGGGCATGGGCATGGGAGGACCGCCGCCGCCACCTCCCCCCCCTGGTGGGCTGCCCTCGCGGCCCGCGGCAGGCGCTGGCCGCGTAAGCAATGATACCGACGTCTGTCTCCAGTTACTTGCTAACGGGAAACCAGGGCGCTCTGCTTGGCGATATTCAAAAGGGAAGATCATTGAAGAAAACAGTCACGAATGATCGATCAGGTCCTCAGGTTGGCGGGACATCGGGCGGAGGGGGAGGAGGGCCACCCATTGGAGGAGCGCCTCCGATTCCAGTGTTTCCAAAGGCATCGGGAGGAGGAGGACCACCCACAGGGGGGGCACCCCCAATCCCAGTGCTACCAAAGGCACCGGTAGGTTTAGGGGGAGGCCAGCCGGGAGGCCACGCCGCTCTATTTGGCGATATTTCAAAGGGAAAGGCACTCAAGAAAGTGGTCACGAATGATCGATCAGGTCCTCAGGTTGGTGGCACATCGGGCGGAGGAGGAGGTGGACCACCAATTGGAGGAGCCCCTCCAATTCCAGGTTTGGCGCTGCCTGGTCTAGGGAACCGGACGAGGAGCGATAGTGATCAAGGCAACCGAGACGCCGGGGGGGCGATGGACGGGCCTCCTCAACTTGCTGGTCTGTTTGCCGGCGGCATGCCGAAACTGAAAAAACGTGGAGGCGGTGTCGATACAGGAGGTGAGACAACACATTTGTGCACAAATTGCCGACTTGTAAATGCATTTCTAACATATACGTGTAGCAACGCAGGACGCCTCATACTTAACAGATTCCGAGCAGAAGGCTCCTTCAGCACCACGACCACCTGCTTCAGCCGCACCTGCGATACCAGGGCGTTTGGTCCCTGAAGTTCCAAAAACCCCTTCTCTGAGTCC